GTGATGAAATGAATAGGAAAATGTGGCGTCAGTAGTGTAGTAGTTAGGTACCGAACTTGTAATCGTGAGATTGTAGGTTCTGGGGTTTGAGACTCACCTCGGTCCGAGGTTGGTTCCTTGGGAAAAGCACTTTACGAATGTTCCTGAAGAGTAAATGGCTTGTTCCTTTCGAGGATGAACGTTAAATTCGGATTATCTTTCAAAAGAAAGTGCACATTGTATTTTGTTTATATCAAACATTTACTTAACTAACTAAAAGACGTAAACTTATTGTTAGTTGTCACAATTCTCTCCAGAACTCAATTCACCAATGCTTAAATGTCTTCGTGATGTTCAGCTTCATAAATGTCTATTAATGTGCCGAATGCGCTCTGTTATTGTTGGCTAGCCAATGGTCATGGAGTCTCTAGGGTTGTTTAATCATCATCATCATCATCATCATCATCATCATCATCATCATCATCATCATCATCATCATCATCATCCTCATCCTCCTCATCCTCATCATCATAGCAGTAGTAGTTACTCTTCTGTCTCCTAAACAACCAGCAATATGTTATTTTGAGATACTATTTCATTTAACTTGAATACAAGGCAAACAAATAACAAAAGATGCATAGCTAATGGTAGTTAAAAATAAAATTATGCAAAGCTTCGCATTGACCAAAACGTCATTTTCAACTGTTCCCTTCATCCGAAACTTCAAGAGCCAGACAATAGCTTGAACACCACGATAAGTGCAAATCTGTGTTACTGATTTGTGTTTGCAGGTTCGAAATGCGTGACAGCATCGTTGCCCTTGGTCTATTAAACGGACAAGTGGGTCTGCTGTGTCATTGAAGAATTAATGTGTACCAAGCATGCTCTACAGTTTTTGTTTGACATTTTGTCTTAGTGCACTCAGGTCTTCCTCAAATAGGTGAACATGAATTATGGCAGGCAGGGTGCGTATGCCAGGCGAACATTGTGTGTGTGTGTGTGTGTGTGTGTGTGTGTGTGTGTGTGTG